CCGCCACTGGACCTTTACTTCAACAAACGACTGGCTGACTTTGAGGCCCGGCTTCAAATGCCCACTCTGGCCGACGGCCGAGGCGGAAAGAAGACTGCAGGGAGTATTGTTCATGCGGCCTGCGGCAAGATATATCAGATATTCAACTCGAGGACGGATAATAGGGGCCGACCGCGAGCCTTTGGGCCGCAGGAGCCCACAGCGGTAGAAGAAGCCGCCAACACAATTGCAGTTTGGACGGGAGGGACTGCCGACACGGACAGAGTAATGGAGGAGGCCTGGAGAGAGAGGTGGCTCAAGGAACGAGACGGCCGGACAGCAACGAGGCCCGCAGATGACCTTGACCACCAGCACGAGACTCTGTTCCAAGACAAAACCTAAGGAGACACGACGGCCTCAGCAGAGCGAAGAGTTCACTGTTGAACCAGATTCGAACCGGGGCCATAGGCCTTCGGGCTTTCTTATTCGAAAGGAGAGTCCCAGAGGTACTGACGCCTATATGGGAGTGTGGAGAGGGGCGAGAGACTGTCGAACACCTTGTGATGTGGTGTTTGGCCCCACCGTTGACTCCAAGATGGGAGAGAGCCGAGGTCAGAACGCGAAGGGACTTTTATTCTGTTCTACAGGGAATCAGTCCCAAAGCTGCACGGCTAACGGGGAGGATCCTGGACTGGCTGATGGACTCGAGGAAACTGCCGATGTACGGTCTGGCCAGGAGGCTGGAGCTGGAGCTCGCAGTCTGATACCCTTTCCTTCGAAGGCCAAGAGGCCTTCCCATTTGTATTTGCAGGATCGCACACTGATCGTTTCCTTGATTGTCGATATGGGTTTTTTACCCGGCCCACGAGGGCGCGGTTTTCCTGTATAGTAAGCTGTTGAGGGTCCGGCACGCCCTAGGGCACAGCGGTGTAGGAATAATAATAGTTGTCAAAGCCAAGATAATCCCGTGACTCCAGGTTTCAAACCCCAAGCTCGCCGTCCTCCCCTGCAATGGAATTCAGGAGACGAAAGTCTTCCTCATCCAAGTCGAATAAGCAGTCAAGATTCTGGACGATACGCTCCGGGTTGTTGCTCTTGGGGATGACGGAGATGCCTCGACAAAGGAGGTAGCACAGAAGAACTTGAGCTGGTGTTCTGGAATACTTCTCGGCTACTGAGCGGACCTGCGTGATGCCCCTTGTCAGCGCCGTACGATCAAAAATAGCATTGCATAGAGTGCCAGACATTACCGTCTTATTCTCCAACGGACCGTGACCGTTTCTACCAGCAAGGGCAGTGATGGGCGTGCATCCTAACGGCCCAAAAGCCGTGATGTGGATTCCGTTCTCCTGACACAATTTGACCAAGCCCTTTTGGGGCTATTGGACGTGGCATTCTATTTGGTTGACGGCGGGCTTGATTATGGCGGAGCGGAGGAGGCGTTTCACCTTGGGGGAGGAAAAGTTTGAGATCCCTATCGCGTGAATACATATCCATCAGTTAATAAGTTGTCTTCGACATATAAGGTAGGTAGTGAAGGAAGAGAGCTAAATACCGATGTGCTTGACCTTTCCAGTCTCAACAAGTTTCTCCATTGCCTGGTATGTTATGTCAAATGCGCGAGAGAGCTCGATGTCGACGACGGGCTAGGACGATGCTGGTTAATGAGGTATAGGTGCGTTCCTGATCTGGTGGAACTTGTCGGCTCGCTCACCTTGCCATCTGCCTTACGCACAGTTCCGTAACCTTCTCCTGTCTCTTTGTACGCATAGGGTACTACAAAAAAAGTTAGGAACTTGTCAACCAACGGTTCTATCCCAGAGGCTATTACAGTGCATCAAGAACAGGTCCACTGGAGCCATAGTATCAGCGGTCATCGTACAGCAAAAACCTTAAAGATGACTTGGCGCATGGGGACAACCGACCATAATCAAGGCCCAGATTCTCCAAGTCCATATCCAAGTTAACTTGCACGTCTTCGGGCGCATGAAAGACATTCTACCTTCATATCGCTGTCAGATATACCATAAGGCAACCTGGGAAACTGACATTGGCATTGTACTTACAGTTTCGTCACGACAAAAATCTCCTCCCTCGGGATACCACTTTCTCTGATGGCCTCCCCTACCTCTCTCTCACCCTAACCCTCGCCATACCGCAATGAAGTGTCGATGTGTCGGTACCCCGCTCGTAGTGCGGTCAAGACGGACTGCTTAACGGTTCCCGTGGGATATAGTTTCGGGTCAGGCTGGAAGGTACCCAGGCCTATCGAGGGGATTCTGGAGCCGTCTGTACCCAAAGGGAAGTACGCTTGCGGCATCATGGTTGGAACCTTGTTTATCAGGATTCAAGTTATATGTTTCTTGGCGCGGGTCAACTGTAACAGCGCTCAAAGGGATGTGCGACGGGTGGCTGTAAGGGGTGTCTAGGGAGGGCTAGGCATCTGGGTGGAAGCCGGGAAAAGCCGATACTTATGCACTATCATTAATGCTGATAAAACTGCCACTCCCTTTGGCGAGTTACACACACGGCCCGCTGCGGCTATGCACGTGTGTCACGCCAAGATCAGATTTACCCGAGCTCACACGCGTTTATCTCCTCATTTTTCAAGTTTCACAGATTCACGGAATTTCACCAGTCCAAACATAGGAAGAACATCATCAAAAGGTCTTGCTGTGCCAAGATCCCCTATGTGCCAACCACAATGCCTTCATACCCGCCCTGAATAAGCCAAAAGTGCATTTTCCATGACCGAGCAGACTTTTTTCAGGTGATGGCTCGACGACATATCCTTCCGCATCCTGTCGGGCCAGTACAGGGCCAGTTGGGCTGCCGCCTTGAACACGTCTTACACTACTTTGCCCGTTCTTGCCGAGCACTCAGCATAAGCGGTTGCGCCGATATACTCCGCCCCAGCCAGCCCTTGCTGATGATTCACAGGCTTTTAGTTTGTCTGGGCGAGCTCTCAGATTCTCCCTAGATGGTCCCTGAGGTCTTGCTTCAGCCCGACCAGCACCGTGGGTACATCTGGACAATGGTGAACCAAGTCCACTTAGACCGGCACGGAGCTAATACAATTCTATGCTCTTAGCGATTCAGACAATTGTTGGAAGACCAACAGCCACTGTTTCACGGTGTTACACGGACGAGAAGTCACGACAGTAGGTTGGGTGCTCCAGAGCACCAAGAAGTGAATTTTATTGAAGGTCCTTGATCCTCCCTCATCTCCGGCGGTGATGGGCATCGCCCCTGTCGCTTGTCAACAGTAGAGCATCAGCAACCCAGCTTCCGAGTTTCACGTTCCAAGGCTTCCAGCAACAAGCGTTTCAGGCTACCGCGACTTTCCAATAACAATACAATACAATACAATACAATTTATTGACGCCCGGCGGATAACCCGAAAGGGCAACTATTACAATCTGACTATACATATCCCAAGATATGTCCTGATCTCGTCGGAGCCCATACAAAGTTCATTCTAGTTCATGTCCTCTCTTATACGATTCCTCTGCGGGTTCTCGTGGGTTAGTAGGGTTGTTAGTAGGCTGGCTTGAAGGCGATTCTCCAAGTGTTCAACGTCCTATCTTCGGCGGCTGAAGCGGTGCCTGCTGTCCGTGGCACGAGGTGAGGGGCGTGGGTTGGGTGCGTTGTGGTGGGTTGGGTGGTTTAGTCAGCCTGCGGTTGGTTTGTGTCAAGGCGCCCTGTGGCCATTACGAACCGTATGGTTGCCCGAACGGCTGCCATGTTGCGAGTCCAGTCTTTCTTATCCGATGGCGATTTCCCTCCTAGGTAGAACGAAATGTTGCTTCTGTGGGTGTCTGTGGGTGTCTGTGCATCCGAGCATCTCTGTTCGGTATGCCGTCCATTTTCTGCATCGGAAGAGGAAGTGGTCTACTGTCTCTGTTGCTTGCCCGCATGCGCACTGATCTGCCGGTGCTGCTCCAATCCGATGGAGGTAACCGTTGAGCCTTGGTATGCCTGTTCTGAGCTGAGCGAGCACGCCAGCCTCCTTTCGTGACAGGTGGTCGTACAGCAGTCGGGTGTGTTTGCCTGGTATAGTCGCTCGCGAAATCGCCTTCCGCTTTTCCCTCTCTCTTCCATTGTCTGTGGGATTGTTTTGGGGCCTCTTGGCGCTTACACTGTGCCTGTTCCCACCGTCAAATGTCCCGTACAGTCCAGCATGGTGCTTCACCATCTTGCAATGGGAAACACGCCGCGACCGCCAGGTTCCAGCCCGACCCGCGGCGTCGAAACGATTGGCTGTGGCCATGCGGGGCGGCGCCAGCGAGGCCCCAGGCCGAAAGGATTGGCTTGCGACATTGTGTTCAGCTGGCCTCTACCCCGCCCTCGCATTCTCGCGCGGTTTGTCCCTCTGCTTCGGAGACGACGATCAGCAGCTGCCTCGTCAGGTACCAGCGTGATGATCTACGCACCAGCGAGGGCTTGCCCTTCTAGTTGATTCGACAGCGCGCTCGAGACGATGGGGTTTTTCCGATGGTGGAAAGAGAAGCGCAGGGTTACGTCCCGTCCGCCGCAAGACATGAACCGCGACCGGACTCCTGGTCCGCAATCACGCCCCGATGCAGACTCCGGTCCGTCCAAGAGGCCCTCCAACGTGCGCGTCACTGAGGCTCAGGTGACCGTATCGGAGGATGCGCCTCCGACAGCTGACACCGCCCGTGCCGGTCCGCCATTTCGCATTCCAACCGGTCCTGCAACCGTCCCACGACCGCGTCGGCGTGAAGACTTCGAGATCGCGGTGTTCTGTGCACTGCCGCTCGAGTACGATGCTGTCTCCCTCATGTTCGATGAGATGTGGGATGAACATGGGAGCAACAACCTCTATAAGACTGGTCGCATCGGCAAGCACAATGTTGTGGTGGCTCTACTCTCAGGCATGGGCAAGGCCAGCGCCGCAAGCACAGCGGCCAGCATCCGTTCGAGCTATCGCCGCGTACGGCTTGCCCTTCTTGTCGGAATCTGTGGTGGCGTACCTCAAACCGGCGGTATGGAGATCCTCCTGGGTGACGTGGTCATCAGCAAGGCGATCGTGCAATACGATTTCGGCAGACAATATCCCGACAGGTTTGAGCGCAAGGATGGCTCCGAAGATAACATAGCGAGGCCGGATAAAGAGTTCCGCACTCTGCTGAGCACGTTCGAGACTGCCGATGGCCGACAGCAGCTGCAGAAACGCACTGCTGATTTCCTCGGACAGCTCCAGGCCAGGGCCGCTCGGAAGAATTGCGGAGCGAAATATGATTACCCTGGGGTCGCAGAAGACAAGCTTTTCGAACCGGCTTATCGCCATAAGCACCACGCATCCCCAACGTGCATCTGCAGAATGTGCGAGAGCGGGTCCGACCCGGTGTGTGATGACGCTGGCAAGTCCTCCTGCGATACTCTACGATGCGACGAGCAACATCTCGTGCCGAGGCAGCGGCTCAAAATGAAACAAGGAATCGAGGGCGAGAAGGCACAAGAGCCAGCTGTCCATATTGGGCCGGTTGGGTCAGGCGACACAGTGATCAAGTCCGGCGAGCATCGTGACCAGATTGCCAGAGCTAAAAGCATTATCGCTTTCGAGATGGAGGGTGCCGGCGTAGCGGAAGAGATCCCCTGCGTCGTAATCAAAGGGGTGTGTGACTATGCAGACTGTCACAAAAACAAGAAATGGCAAAATTTTGCGGCGGCTACCGCGGCTTCCGTGCTGAAGGCTGTTCTGGAACGGTACATGCCAGTAGCCGAAAGCAGAGAGCGTCTCGTCGAAGCAGCATCGCGGCAGCCTTGCTTTTTGGTCCCGTTTGGACGCAATAAGGACTTTGTAGGACGCGAATCGACTCTAGCGCAGCTTCTTGAGAGAATCCCTCCTAGTGCCGACAAGGACGACTGCCAGCGGACTGCTATCGAGGGCCTCGGAGGCGTTGGAAAGACTCAAATCGCGCTTGAGGCTGCCTTTCAGGTCCGGGACGAGCACCCGGACTGCCATGTCTTCTGGGTCCCCGCTGTCGATGCCGCTATGTTTGAGAACTCCTACCGTGAGATTGGCCGGCAACTCCAGATCGCGAGGATTGACGACGATAAGGCGGATGTCAAACTACTCGTCAAGACAGCTCTGAGCCAGAGTGCTGATAACTGGCTGTTGATTGTCGATAACGCCGACGACGTCGAACTACTCTTCGGTGCTGCCGGGGCTACGCCGTTGTGCGACTGTCTCCCTTTTAGTTATAGGGGCTCCATCCTGTTTACAACTCGGAACCACGAGGCCATTGTCAAGCTCGACATCCCGAAGAGGGGTATAGTGAACCTGGCAGAGATGAGCAGGCCCGAAGCGGTCGATCTGTTGCAGAGAAATGTAGCAGTACATCAGCTAAGCGACACTCAAAGCACAACGAGCCTACTTAACTTCCTGGCCAACCTACCGCTTGCTATTAAACAGGCATCTGCCTACATGGCAAAAACAGGCATAACAACAGCGCAGTACCTTAACTATTGCCAGTCGGGTAACAAGCGCTTGATCGAGCTGCTGAGCAAGGACTTTGAGGATCGAACCCGCTACAAGAGTACCCGAAATCCAATTGTTGCGACATGGCTGATTTCTTTTCGCCACATCTCCCGTGACAACCTGCTCGCCGCCCAGTACCTGAGATTCATGTCCTTCCTTGCCGAGAAGGAGATTCCGAAAAGTCTCCTCCCGCCGGGGAAGAGCGACCTAGAAGCAGACGAAGCAATCGGCACATTGAAAGCGTACGCATTTATTACCGAGCGACCCGGCCAAGAGTCGTACGACATGCACAGACTTGTCCGACTAGCAATGCGAAATTGGTTGGCAAAGGAAGGAGAACTTAAGGCATGTGCTACGACTCTAATACAGCACCTTGATAAAGTGTTTCCCTTCCCAAAGCATGAGAACAGGGCTGTCTTGGTAATGTATCTGCCGCATACCCTGACTGCGTTGAGGTTCCAAGACCATTCAACCGACGACGCAGCCAAGTCAAGTCTTCTCTTCAATGTGGCGGGGAGTGCTTCCATGCTTGGGAAGTACAAGGAGGCTGAGGCGCTCTACCGGCAGACGCTTAAGCTACAGACGCAAGTGCTCAACGCTGAGCATCCCAACACGCTCACCAGCATGAACAACCTCGCAAACACGCTTTACAGCCAGGGGAAGTACGAAGAGGCC